AGAAATGAATGGATTTTGTTTTTATTAACCTACTGTTATATAATAATTGCGTTTTTTCTGATACTTCTGCGAATGCGAATGCGAATGCGATTATGCAAGAATATGCGAATATCAGCGAATGCGAATGCGAATATTTGTTACATCACTAGTATGCACACCGATTTCCGAATAGGCACATCCCACATCACGTAACATTTAGTTCAATTGTTTTACGTGCACGTGCTGATGGGGATTAGACGCGCCCAAGCTTGCATTGCAGTCAATGGAAACAATTTTGGACAGCTTTTATAAGTAAGTGAACTGTTAAACTGTATTATTTTATTATCTCGATTTCTGTAGGACTTTTATTACATATGTTTTTGAGAAATCAACTCTTTCGTAACTGTGCATGTGTGGTTAAAATTTGTCGCATAAGTTGTGAAACAACCTGTATATTTAATTCTAGCTGAAGCCGCAAGATACTCGATTTCATTGTTGCTCTGCTGTAGAACGCTATTTCTATTTAGAGCTGCTATTCCGAAATAAGTTATGAGACTGTAATAAAGTGACACGTAAGCATTTTTGTAAATACATTCATACTTAACGTTAACACAGTTCAGACACAATGACGACATGATTGCATAGTCATCTCAATATACATTATATAGTCTTGTCCATCCGTTGTACAAATTACTTAACTCTAGCTGGTAGGAAGTTCTGACTATCAGAAACTATCAAATACAAATTAATGATAAGATCTTGCCTTCCTATGAGCTGCTCTGATATGATCTGTTATATATGACCGTTCGGGTCTATCGGAAAATGATTGTTGGAAAGATCGGATAAGCCCGACTCTGTACGGAGTTCGCGTCGATTTACCGCCGCCTGACGCTGTAAACAGCGATGCGCGTGACCTTTTGTAACCAATCGCTTATCTGACGACGTCTGGATATTGCACTGGGTAATTTGCCCGAGTGCAGCTTCTGGTTTACTTATTCTTTGTACATTGATTAACCGTTATGCAATTTTCCTTGTCCTTGAGGTGTCGAAACACCATATATCCATTTCGCATCCTCGAACACTGCAGATGCATTATTGTGAAAGCTAATATATCACTGCAGGACTTATAAGCTCTATAATCTAAGCTAAGTTCGGGAATCAAAGATGTTCTAGAAACACATAAAATGTTTTTATTAAAAAAGTTATTGGATTAAATCTGCGGAGGTAAAACGATTTGTTTTGATTTACTTGAAATGACGCTATGACGTCGACGGCACTGCCCATGGAAATTCAAGGAAAATACTTAGCAGTAAATGCAGTCACACAACTGGTTGCGTCTGAAAATAGGCGGGTCAATGAGGAAAAGTGCTATTTTGGTGTATACGCATACCAACGTGTTATGTAAATAGATTCGGACAGGATATTTTTGGATCTAGTCTAGTTAATTGCCGCGTTAAGCCAGAGTAAGACCAATTATTTTTATTGACATGATACCCAAAGCATCGACTCTACGTACAACTATTGTCCAAGGTTTAAAAGCCCTAGTTATAAAACGTTAACAACCGAAAATACCACCTCTATACGGTGGTAACCATGGTAACAATATTCGAAGACGTTGTCAGTCCATAAAGTTTGGTTATTTTGATATCATTTTTTGATGTTACGTCTAGACTCTGCCCTGTAATAGCCTGCTTGACTCATTTCTAATCTCTTAGAATAAACGAGGATTTCCACAGTATTTGGCTTAGGAAAACGAAATATATTGATTTCAATTTTTAAAAGCGCAAGATGGATATACAGGGTGGCCAACATATAACTGACTGATTCAAATTGTGCGTCATTTTTATACACGCACTTCAGTAGGTGGCGCCTTAGTTTAAAGCACATGTGTCCAATTCATCATGGAGCGCTACAATATTCCACAACGCGTTCGTGTTAAAACGTTTTACCTAAATAATGAGTCGATTGTTGCATCGAATTGGAAGCTACGACAAGATTTCGGTCGATATAATGTGCCCAGTGTCAACACCATTCGTCAGTTGGTGCAGAAATTTGAACAAACAGCGGAAGTTAAAGACACTATTTTAAAAAAAGATTTGCATTCGTGGAGAGAAAAAATTCAGTTAACCCAATAAATACAGCCTAGTGACCATGATAGTCGCCGATAATACAGTTATGCAATATTGCAGCTTAATACTCAAAATAACGATTTTTACCGACAACTGATAATGAGCGGTGAAGCCCACTTCAATATGAACGGATTTGTTAATAAGCAGAATTGTCGTATCTGTGCATTAGAGAACCCTCGTGTCGTCCATCAACGACCACTACATCCTCGTCGAGTCACAGTTTGGTGCGGTGTTTGGTATGGAGGTGTCATTGGACCTTACTTCTTTGAAGACGCTGTAGGAAATTCTCATACTGTCACTGGCGAGCGCTACCGTGAGTGCAAAACTTCCTGGCTCCTCAGATCCAATCTGCAAAACATGTGGTTGCAGCAGGATGGAGCAACCTGTCACACAACTAGGGAAACAATTAATCTTTTGCGAACAATATTTCCGGGACTTTCAATAATTTCTCTATTTGCTGATGTCAACTGGCCACCAAGGTCACCGGATTTAACAGCTCCTGACTTTGTTTTATGGGGATTTGTGGAAAATAGCTTGCCAACAAACCAAATACTGTAGAGCAGCTGAAGGACAATATTACGGAAGCGATTGAAAATATTCCTCCCGAAACTCACCAAAAAGTGAAGGAAAATGTAATCAAGAGGGCTCAGGTTTGCTCGTCTTCTAGAGGTCGACATTTGTCTGATATTATTGTTCATACATAAATTCTAAGTTTCAATAAAGGATTAAGATGAAAGAATGGACGTATTTTATTTCATTTCACAAATATTCAAGATACAAACCAGTTAGTTACATATCGGCCACCTTGTATAGGTCCAATTTAAAAAAGACGATATTTTTAATTTTTAATACGAAATGGTGAAATACTATCGGCCATGATGTAACGTCATACAAATTGTAAACAAAGAAAAATCATACGTGGACTAACGTTGTCTTGTTCGAATATTTCTAAAAAAACTCCTTATCAACGTAAATAGTTATCGTTTTCTTGTTTTGTTGAGAAACACGAGCATTTGCGTTGGATTCGTAAATCCAGAACATAAGGTATGTCAAAAGTAATACACAGGGTTGCATATATTTATTTCCTTGGGCACTCTGAGCCGCAGCTTTCCTGCGATCTATGTGTTATTACATTATTCAACGATAATTACTATGTAATTCATGTAATTGTTAACTAGTAGAAGTCACGTTTATATGTTTAAAAGCTGTCAGCTGCTGAAATAGCTAAAAAAATTACTGATTTAATTAAAAATTATGAAGATAACTCGATGTTTTCATTTAAAAAAATTCTGAGGTGTCCGGAGAAAAATCTCAATTTCACTGAAATGTCCGGAATTTTGTATGATTTTGTCCGGCGTCGGTAATTTAGGTAACAGATAACAAACATGTAACGGAAGAGAGCACGACGCACAGCTTGTGACTACATTTAAATGCTGCAACAATGCGAAATAAGATTCGAATATGCAAAACAAATATCGGCATACTCGCACACATATTTTCACTCGAACGTCATACGTAGTAGGCGCATTATTTTTGGAATTTCAGTAAAACGCATCTATCAAAACTCTGTTGTATATTTCTACAGACAAAATTAAAGGCGAGAGTTAAGCTTATAAACAGTTTAAACTTCAGAGCAAACGCTGCAGTCATTGCACCTCATTTTTACAGACATTAAGAAAATAAATTCGATCCCAGATTATACACATTTCACTTTCGATATGGATGGTCATAAACACTGTGTCGAAAATTGAAATAAGTATCTTCAAGAATCGCTACACCACGAAAAAGGTAGATAGATATTACAAGTAAAAGATTTGCCTAAACACGGTGAAATTTTTTCATAACGCACGAACTTCAGAACATTTTTAGCCAAAAAAAGGGATGCAAATTTTGATCAGTCAGCGATTCGCCCATTCTACTACCTCATCTACCGCATTCCGAAGCATGTAATGGACGCTATAGAGATGAACCTCGCACTCTAGGGGTGGATCTAGAAAATATTTTCTGGGAGGGGGTCCATATTAAAAAAGTGGTGGTCGAAGAGCTCAGGATTGATATTCAGGAAAATGTCCGTCTTGAGGTGAGTATCGCAGATTGAAAACTGAAGAGCAGGAGGGGGAGATCATCGTAAATTGAAAAACATGCAATTTTTGTAAATTTTGATATTTCGGGGGGTGTTCGGACCCCGTAAGTTGGGTACCTCCTAGCAAATATTTAAAATTCTGAAAGAATGGTACGAAAACAATGCTTATACTATAGGTCTCTGCGAAAAACTTAAGCACAAAAAACGGAGATCGAAAAAATACTCAATGTTTGGAGGTGTTTTTTTTTATACTCCACGAAGGCCTAAAGCCTAAACACCCATGGGGTAGGTACCGTAAGGCTATAGGAGGAAAGATACAGAGGAAAAATGGGGCGACGCCACACGGACTCTAGCGAGGGAACACGTGTGCATGCAGCATGCAGACATTCTGGCCCCGCCTACGAGATCCGCCGGGCGGTACCTCCGCGTTCGACAGTCAGAGACCATCTACCACCTACGGAGTACGGACAATCACTACATCCTCACAGCACACCGCGACTGATCAGGAGACGACGCCTCTACCACTGCGGCCACCGCTGCTGCCCTAAAATGTTTCAGTTCAGTTTCCAAAAATGCAGTTATATTCATTATGGAACCAAAGCACATTGCTCCCCAAATTCTACCATAATCGCGGCCACAAAGCTAAGGGAAATCAACCGCATGGTTCTTCTTAATGTTCACATTACAAAACATGATCTAATATCGTCAGCCTCTTAATTAACAGTTATGATTTTGAAAAAAATACTGCTGTTAGAAGTTGTTTTAAACCTACCAGATAAATTATAACAAATTTATCGTGCCTTATTTATTATATATTTGTGCTATAATTGCAGTTTATAAACCATATAAATTATTTAGTTTTACATGGCTCATAGTCAATTTTGTTATCGTGCAAAATTTCAACAAAAATGATTCAATAGTGCCTATAATATATGATATTAAAGATTTGTCGTGCTGACAGTATTTTCATTCAAGAAGTATTGCCTGCAATTTCACTTTTCTTTTAATTCTTGTAATGTACTTGGTTATTATAATATGTATGAGAAAGAGCGTCAAACTAAAAGTGTATCTCACTCGCCGGGACAGTTTTAAGTAGTGTCTTTCGAACTCACCTGAAACAATAAACACTAAAATCACTTCACTTCAATGTTCAAATAAAATAAAAAAGATGAGAAAACTAAAAAATATTTTTATTTCAATTCAAATTCAATTTCTGCGATCACTATATTTCTTTAGTTGTGAATGCAAATTGAAAATACAGATAAGTTAATAATATATGTTAAATTTATGACTGAATTGGTAATAGGATATAAAATTAGCAGTGGTGCTAAACGCGGTTAGTGAACGCCATGCTATTTTTAATAAGTTGTTAACTTTTTCTACCGTAAATATTTTGTCAAAAGCTGGTTTTCAGATCTTGTTAATGGATTCACTTTCATCAGTCACTCATCTAGAGAAAATATTTATGCTTGTAGATACAAGTGATTAATGTTCACAGTGAGCCGCAGTAAAACACAATAAGGATAATGACGCCATTTTAAATCCAGTATTGCGGCGGGCGCAAAATGGAGATTTACATTGTCCACAGTCACCCTTATGATATGAGTATCAAATAAACAGCTAAATAAAACCTTGTTTTTAAAAACGCTTTTTAGTATATTTGGTGAATAAAAAGGAACATTTTCGACGGGCAGATAGGGATATGTCAACGTTGGACAACTAGGTGGCAGAGTTACACAAGGAGTCCAAAAAATTAATGATATTCTTGCAGCTTACTTCATGACTTACTACATAGCAAAATTTTCTTTTAGTGAAAATCCCATAGTTTCTGAATTTCAGAATTTGATTTGTTTATTAAGAAACTGTGTTCAATTAACCTCGTATCGTTTCTTTAAATATACTCAGTGACATAAGAAGTGTTACACCCAGAGAAAATATTTTCTTGAACTTGTTTTTTGGAAACATAATGACTATATTTAAAGCATGCTGTGGCAACAATGTCAACGTTTTATCTTTGTTTTTACCTTTGTTAAAATGTTATCTCTTAGCTTTTGTGAAGAAATCAGTTTCTGAGAGCTGAGTAGTACAGATATTTTTAGTTATTGCCCTTTTATTTAGTAGTGTCAAATATAACAAAATGCCTCGAGTTCGAAGACGTCCAAATTATCACCATGTTAGTGACTTTGGCTATCGAGATGTTGGTTTGTCCTATCGCGAAATTGGCCGCCGTGTTAATTGTACTGTAATGACGGTAGTGCGCGTATGTCGTGTGTGGCCAACTGGTCCACCAAGGCGTATCACAGAGCGTCAAGATAGGTGCTTCAGACAATTATCCCTACGAGACCGTTTTGCCATTACACATCGGATCACTGACCAATGGTTTGTAGAAGAAGTTTGTGGACTTTTTTCATACCGTCCAAGGTTAGTGCTACCTCTGACTGTGGACCACTGTCGTCAACCGTTAAACTGGAGCAGAGAACGGCAACATTGGGAGGCAGAATGGCATAATGTCATCTTCAGCGACGAATCGCGATTCTGTCTAGGTACGCTCGATAGTCGTAGAAGGGTAAGACGCCGCAGTGATATTGAATTTGCTGTTGAGAGACATGTACACAGTACTGTTGAAGTAATGGTTTGGGGGGCTATTTTCTATGGTAGCTGATCACCCCTTCTCTTTGTTCAAGGCGATATGTTGATTTAAATAGTAGGACAAAAAAATAGGGACGATAGACGAAGGGCAGATCTACAACATACCAAAAAATGACCCTAGTAAAAGTTCCACTGTTTTTGAGATATTAATTTTTTGTTGTTGTGCCTGGAAATAACAAAATATCTGTTTGTTTTTTTTTACAAAATATTCTCAGTTAGCTGGTCTGTCATTTGAAATATCATTTTCGATAAATACAAGTAAGCAAACTTGACAAACTAATTTCTTCTTCGTAATTTTTATTTTATAAAACTATTTTGCTCAACTTTGGTATTCAGCAATGAAATAAAAATGTACTAGACTGCTGCGTCAAAGTACTACGTACTGCTTAAACAGCAACAAAAGTTAGATCAAACAACAAAATTTTTCGAAAAAGAAAAAAAAAATAATATCCCAAAAACAGTGAAACTTTTACTAGGGTCATTTTATGGTATGTTGTAGATCTTTCGCCTAACTTCACCATTTTTTTGTCGTAGTATTTACCGGACGCCCTGTATCAGGTCGTCCACACGTCTTTTTTGACCAAGACAACGCACGTCCCATATCGCTCGTCGTATTACGGACTTTTTTCAAGAAGCAGGCGTTAAAGTTTTGCCGGATTTAAATCCCGTCGAACATGTGTGGGATATGATGACTTTGCATTATCCGCCACAGATTAACCACGAGGTTCGAGCTGCTTGGCATGAGGTGCCACAACCAGACATCGATCATCATCTCATTTAGTCGATGCTTAGACGTATCCTGGAGTGTATTCAGCTCCGGGGTCACCCGACACATTATTATTTTTTTTCTTATTTCTTGTCAATAAAATTTCATGAGAATGTTACAGTTTTATTATTGATGTGAGACTATCTCATTGCCAAAAATCAAGTTGAAGTATATTAACTTTTTTGTACCAGAGCCTTGAACAGATTTTGGACCAAAGCTAGCCGGTCGGACACTAGTCAATGTATTATTTCTCTCCCCGTCAATCATATACGTACATATCTCTATTGGACATTCCGGCTAATCAGTGACACGTTCAAATGCAGCTTCTTGATAGATGTACGAGTATATAAATTATTCAAGGTCACTTCTAATCAAATTTTAATCTATCCCATTTTTATGCATAGTGTAGCCTAAAAAAAACAGGCAACCGATACGTTGTTGATTTTCATCCCAAAAGGATGTAATTTTATTTGCCAGTATAAGTTTCAGAGGTTGCTTTCATGTTTAGTTTTTGCAAATTGATAGACTCAAATCTTTAGTCTCATATCCTTGAATTTTTACTCATAGAGATTTCAAGCTCAATGAGAATGTAGCAGCACAAAACTAAATGCATTTGTAAAAATATATATTTTACAGGTATACATTACTGTGTCTGGCTGCAATTAGCCAAATTACACCTGAGATGTGCCAAGATCGCATGAGACGGGTATTTAGCAAACATGTTTATAAGCTGCCAAACCATACAAAAAAATATAACGTACTTTCTACAAATCTCATATTCGTATTTATTTTTGCGAGTAACATCAAAATGTAAATGATCTTAAACTACTTGAACCTAACCATGAACAAATAAGTTTTCAAGCAAAAGTTTTATCCAGAATCCCAGCTTCCTTCCGGTATAATGACTACTTTGATGATTTCACGATATAACATGAAGCTTTCTCTTGGTTGATCGTTTTTAACACTTCAAGAACAAAGAAGCTCTAGTATCGTTCGGGAGCATTAAGCAGAATGAACAAATACTAAGGTATAATGCAAAATACCAATGCATATTGCACCCAATTAATGCATCTAGATATTTATCAAAAGCAGACTATTTATAGAGTATAGTATCCTCGCTTGCACAACATTGTTAGCAAATCGTTCCAGATCTGTGTATATAGGAGAAATCGATGCCATTTTGCAGTATTATTTACGCGTATGCAGACACGCGGTCTGAATTTATTTTAGAGCTTACGATCTCAATGCACGGCGACGAAGTCTGTTAAGGCTGAAGTAGAGTTTAGTCACTGAAAGTAAACGAGGAAAACAACCACTTGCTTTAGGATATATGAGTGGAAGAGTTCTGCGTTAAGCTAACGTAGACTGTATACACATGTTTGTGAGAACATCACCAACGATTTGCGTAAGCGTGATTCTCAGTTTCAGTGGTAAGGAAAAAAATGGCACGTCCTACGCAACGCCATCATCAATCTATAAAGGATTAAATTCAGTAAATGGTAAACCCCCCAAGAAAAGGAAATAATCACAAACCTTTACAATAAAGAAACTAAACGAATTAAATCAGTCAAACAGGTCCATACAATTAGTCCACAGACATTCTTTGCCTGCCCTCGGTAGTTACCGTCCATCTGCCAACGTTGCTCCTTTCCATATCGTCAGACGCGGCAGCGCCCACCGAAGCACCACCGCAGTACGAGTGAAACAAACAAGGAGACCGTTACGCCAGGCATTGAGCCCAGTTAGCATGAGGAGATCGAGTATCAAAAACAATTTTTGAAGACGGGGAAACAAACATGATTCTAAAATAAATTAGAACACTATGTCGCATCAAGATTTGAATTAATAATGCTAATCAAACTGAAAACAGAATATTAAATTGAATATTCGCACAGTGGTAATGAACCTTAAGTGATCAGTAGGATCCAAGACCACATCACTCGGCTTTCATGGATGCTTTGCTAGAAAGCCATTTAAGCTTGGGCTTGTCGAACTTGAAATCACTAATGAGAACACGAACGGACGTTCACCGCATCTCGATAGGTTTTTTTTTGCGCTGCCGGGAGAGAAATCTTCATTAAGTTCTCCCTTAGCTCCCATGTCATAGTTATTTTATAAAGATCGTAAATGGCAAAAATTATAGTAACACAAAATTATTATTGATAGCAAAAACAGTTCAATGACATTACAGTTGTTTTTGTTGTACAAGTACCAAGTACCATGTAAGAGTTCGAGTCAACATATATATATATTAATTGTTAATTGGGAAATTGGCAAAACTCTTAGGCTTAAGTTGACTCTTTTCACGATAAAATCAAGCTTTCGGCATTATCTATGGAGACTTCAGCAGGATTCTGAAAACACAATTGTGATGCTAGCAAAGAAAACAGGACAGATTTAAATTGTCAGACAACTTACTCGTCGGTGAGGTTGCAGCCACAAGGTGTTTCATAAAGAACGTAGAGAAGATCGAAATTATAATCAGTATAAAAACAAAAGGACGGGGACATTGGGTTTGTTGTAAAACGACAGATACCTTCGTTAAATGTTAAAAATATCAATCCACCCGAACAAGTTAAAAATATTACACGTGAGACGACATTTTGTTGAAACAATCGGAATGCAGACTCTAACCTTCTGTATCCGCAACCCGTGGAGAGGGGGACGGCACGGAAAGATAAAGCGTCGACAGATGAC